GAATAGCCTTCCTGATAACATTCGGGGTTCAGACACACTCTCTCTGTTTAAATCTAGATTAAAGACACATCTCTTTGGCCAAGCATTCAAATAATGCATCTCATAATCTTGTACTGCAGTTATATCTGATCAAATGCACATTATTATTCTTTAGTTTGGGTTAAACAAATCAATTTTGCTTGGTTGGAACAGCAGCTACGCTAATTATGTCTCTATTTGTTTCTCTGTTTCTGCCATGGGATTGACATTGTGTGGTAACTAGGATTTACACAAGCTTCAGTCTGGATCCAGAACACCTGAGAAGAGATGATGGCAACCCCTCAGAGGGCCTCAGATGATGCCAACCCTGAAACCACATACAGAACTACCAAATTTTGCTATAAGTTTGATTGCATCATATAATAATCGCTGTTAATAGTGTTCATCGTCTGTTTGATTACGTCTTTAATTGATTTTTCCATGCATTTCTGCCATATGTACATTAACTGACAGTCACCACTGATAAGCTACCACTAAATATGTAGAAACTTAATTTGCTGTAAAGTTGCTTTGCAATGATTTGTATCGTGAAAAGCGCTATACAAATAAACTTGAATTGAATTGAATTGAATTAATCATTACACTTTAGTATATTAAAACATAGAAATTAGTTCCAGAAGCTTTCAATACTTGGACGGTATCAATATTGCTTCCCCAAGATTTAATTATGTGCTAAATCTTCTCACAATTTCCATACACTGCATTGCACCAGAGGTCAGATGGCCACTGAAGCTAAATTTGGAAGTTATCTTGCATGCTGATACCTTCTATTACACATTTTTAATGATACACTCTTAAAAATAAAGGTGCTTTAAAAGGTTCTTCACAGCAATGCCATAGAAGAACCATTCAGTCAAAAATTCTTTCAAGAACTATCTCTTTCTTTCTTTTTTATAATCTGAAGAACTTTCTTTCACCACAAAGAGCCTTTTGTGAGACAGGTTCTTCAGATGTTAAAGGTTCTTTATGGAACCATTTAGCACCTTTATTTTTAAGAGTGTATTTGAGGATAAAAATAAGTTATTATAGCCGTTCAGCAATTTGCTAAACTGCAAATGATCAGACTTCTGTTTTTAACTACAATTATACAATCAGTTTCAACGGTTAAATAATCGGACTCCTTAAACTATCATCACATAAAGCCATTATAATAAATAACCACATTTACGTTGTAACTTTAATGTGAATGATGTCTCTTTGTCACAGCCTCTGGTTAGTGCTGCAGTCTCCGTTTAAATGAACGTCATGAGTGAAGTGTCACTCATTGCAACTGGCTCCTTGTGTCTTTCAGCAGTTCTGCGTATGGTAAGATGAGAAATAGATTCTATTTTACACAACTTGCTAATGTAGTTCATATTTTCACTTCAAAGCCTATTTTATGCATCGATTTTTTTGTGTGAAAAAATAATAAAACAACTAGTTTAACAAAACACTTAGGATCAATATTTGTATGTGGGGTTCAAGGGGAAAGTATTGATACTTCAGTTGTGCTTTCAGAAGCTCATTTGGCTTGATTGAAACTGACCCAATTCTTTCCTACCCTCCAAACATATTTCTGTTTGTCAGTTTATTGCGCATACAGGCATCCTAAGTCTCCTTCCCACAGCCGGAACAAGATAAAGCTGGAGTCTCTGCTTTATGCTATTGCCTTGGATCATTTCACTCTTACTCTGCAGGGAACAGAGAACTAACTGCTGACCGTGGCTAAAATGTTTAATTTGACCTCTCTTAAAGACTATAGCTGTACCTTCTTGTAAAACACACTTATTTCTTCCCTAGCTTTGAAAAAAAAGCCCTTTTCTGCAGGCACTGGTGGTGTTGCATTTTAATTTGTACAGCAATAGGAGTACAAAAATATATCTGACTTTAAGATGACTTTAAAGTCTGTCTGCTGTGTTGGTCTGAGGAAGGACTGACATGTTATTCAATCCTCTAGGCATATTAAAGTAGACTGTGGTGCATCCACCCCGTCACCCATTATACAACTAATTATACAACTGTTAATAGTGTACTTAATTTGTTAGTTCTGCAGTTCATGAGCTGTTAAGTAAATTATTATTGCTTAATGATAGCGATTGTATGTCAGTTTGATCTAATTGATATCTAGAAAGCATCTTTGGGTAATATAATCACATGAGGTATATGTTTGTTGTGCTTGTAGTTATGTGTAAATAGAAGTATAAACAAACTCTGCTACATTCCCTTGTTAATTAGTGCAGAGACCAGAGAAACGGCTCACATGACAAATATTTTTACAAGGTGATTTTCTCCCCGTCTAAAGCTTAATTGCACATTAGTTAAGCTTGATGTAGAATCCTGAGGCTATTGTCTGAGCTACTATCATTTATATTAGATTCCCCTCTTTCTCTTCCATTTGCTCTCCCTCTCAGTCCTCTTTTTTTTCATCCCGCTGCTCTTGTTTTATTAGAAGTCATTTTCGGTGCCTTTTCTTGTTTGTTGGGAAGTGACACAGCTCTGACCTGTAGCGGTCCCAGTTCCGCCTGATTAAAAGCTTCACTCTTTGCGCCTTTGAGACAGTTTCTTTTCTCCGGCCCCCTTTCCCTCAAATCATGCTAAACTAATGATGACTAGGAGGACAGCCTGCATGACTCAAGCAGTGAAGGATGCTGTTTTAGCCTAAAATTAAAATGAGGGCCAGCGGTGCAAGTAGGCTGCTTTAATTGGCCATCTTGACTGCTCGAGCAAAGCGTGCCTTTCATACGAGTAAAAAAAGGTTAGGGCACTGATCCTACAACATTTCATCAAATTTTTTGAGAAATTAGCCAGATAGGTTTAAGGGTGGGTTCTCTTGATACATCTAAAGGTTACGGAAGAGGCATTGAAGGGAAAAGAGCAAAGCTGAATTATGTCTTGACCAAGGGGTCAAGGTTTAGCTGGTTAGCATGGCCCAGTTAGTATGACCCCTGTTGGTCAATGCTGAAATCGTACCATCAAAATGCCTCTTTCTCCATTCATCAATGTAGCTTTAACCAAGCATATATATATATATATATATATATATATAATTATATTATTTTTTTCGTTTTTCCTTTGGAGTGTTATCTGAAAATAATTTTTCTGTAGCGACAAATGATGCTTCAGAAATCTGCTGATTTGGTGCTCAGAAACAGTAACAGATTTAATTTATCTTTTCAAAATAAAAATTTTAATTTCTTAAAAAAAATAGTCAAACTGACCTCAAACATCTGAACTATACTGTATACCACAGGTGATTGGCTCAAAACGGTTGTGTCCAGAACGGAGTACCCATGAGCGAAATGTAGAATTCAAAGCACGTTCTTCCAAAGGCATGCCTTTGAGATGAATAGGAATGCAAACAAATATCTTTCTTTGGACTAGTCCAGCAGGAGTTTTCATTTTTTTAATGCCAAAGATCTTAATGGGTTCAAGAATTTTAATGCCAAATAAGATGATTCGCTTGTGATGATCTCTCTTTGTAAAATATAAAAACAGTTGTGTTGTCTTCTCTTGAAAATTTTTACACTGTAAGGAGAGATTAACACTAAATAAATGTAATTCTAATCGTTAAAAACTAGGGCTATAATAGATAAGATGCAATTATATGTAATTATTCATAACTACATGTAAACTTTGGAATGGAAAGTATAAATAGTAATGACGATGCAGAAAAGAGAGGGTACACACACAGAGGTAGTTACCAAATTTATCCTGAGACTCAAGCACTGTGCAGGAAGACAGGCCATGATTTCATCGTAGACATTTGGGCAGTTGGAGACCAGTGGGAAGTTCAGGGATTACCGCTTTCATCATTTCCCAGACTGAATAAATTGAAAATGGTAAACAAACTGGCAGCATTCAATTTATGCTTGTCACCTGGTCGTGCTCGCAGGCTGCTTTATTTCCTTATCAGTGGCATGCAGTTTCTCCTCAGCCAGTATTGTTTTGTGGTGAAGCGTGTTAAGGTAGCTTGCTCTGGGACCACAGTTGCATGCCCTGCGGCTCAGCTGCACTTGGAGCTAATAATGTGGATTTTAACCTCTACTTCCTTTACATGCTCACAACCTTGGAAAGAATGGCCTGCTTCTCTCTCTCTTGCTCTCTCTATCGTCCACAGGCAAGCAGTCTTTGGTTTCAATAGCATCCTGATTTATCTCAGGCCTCCATGCTGGTGTGTATATAATCAAAGATTTAGAGAAAGCAGGAATGTAAACAGGCAGTTAGCAAGCCTAAATAATTCTGTCACCTTTGTGTGAAGCCCACAGCTTGCGATTTTAGCATTTTACACTCTTTAGTCTGTTTATCCAATAAATGAGAGATCATTTGTGTGAATGTTCTCCTGGTTAGCTGCGTCTTTATGGTAGGAACAGCTTGCTCCATCTTGCACCATGTGCCCCCGTCTCCCCTCGAGAACCAGGCGCATCGCTCGCTCTCTTTCTGTCTACCTTCTCTCTCTAGCCCCACTGCTTCAGCCCTGACCAACTCTGATTGATTTCACATCTGTGAAATAAAGCTTAGCCGAAAAATCTAATTAGGTTTCACAATGAGCAAAAAAAGGGAGAAATGGCAGCGACATATGGAGTTGGCTTCGCAATTAGTATCTGTAAACATGGATTAGACATTAAAACGATGAGGGAGAGAACATGCAGGCTGTTTCTGCCTATAATACCTTCTGTTCCAAAAGTCAAAGAGGATGTCTGGGAACTTGCGACAACAATAGATCACTGTGGTTTTAATATAAATCGGAGAGGCGCAACACTTTGCCGCACTTTCCCGTTTCGATATGAACTGCGATGGAAAGAGAGTTTAGCGCTTTCGAAGCCGCCTGCCATTCTCCATGACACCCATAAATTGTATGTTTGATTGATAGAATTTCGCCCATCACTCTTGCCGAGCATCACAGACAGCCATTAGAGCAGAAGAACAGAGATGAATCACTTCAGCCCTGAGTCAAGTGAAATTTACGGAGCAAACATCTTCAAATACCATTTTAATGGCTTACCTTTCCCAAGGACCCCTCTCTCTCTCCTTAAGGCTATTTGGGCTGAGGCTTCAGAGGAGATGATTAAAAATTAATATTAGTTCAGGATTGACGGCAAACACCATTTGATGTCTGCCACAAAGGGGTTATGGGATTGTGGACTTTCGGATGGATTCACGGCCACAGGAGACCCAAGTTTATACTTTTGAGGAAAATGCTGGAGGGGATGATGAGATAGTGGAGGTGGGTTGGGGAGTTGGCGTGGGTTTGCTGGTTAGTTGGATTGCGTATAAATGGTGATGGTTGGAGCAAGTTTAATTTTTCGCAGTCTGATGAACTCCGTTGCAAAATTCATGAAGTTTTTTCCCCCCCTATTTTAAGGAAGCAGATCACTGAAAGATGTGTTTAGTGAGATTAGAATACCTCTATGTCGATGGTCTTTGAGTCCAGCTTGGGCAGCTCCTTGGTTTGAGCCCTGATGTAGCATCTCTGGTGCTTGGCAAAACGAATGCCTGTGATGCCCTTGAAAGACATAAATGTTAATGAGATTGACTGTTTATTCCATGATTTGAAAAATATTAGCATCTGACCTCAAATACTCTCACAAAAACACCCCAAAGCCTTTTCAGTGTAGCACAGATACAGCGAATGTTATATAACTAAAGCAACGGGAATCATTTCCTAGCCAATTCAATATAATTGGTCTACAGCCCCAGCCAGTAGAGAGGTATACTGCCGAAGCCATGATTATATGTAGGCAAAGCCCATTGATTTGGAGCACTTATGGTCTGTGTTGCGAAGCTAATCTGTTTGGTGAAGTGAGGAACTTTTTTCCTGAAAGCCACAGCTGATGGTCTGCCATACAGAATTTGTTGCTTTACACTTGAAAAGAGAAAAACTCATTTTGCAGGAGTATCTGAAGAAAGTTCTTTACTGTCTGAAAGTAGTCTTTGAAGGGAAATAAAGGCTATCGCGTTACAAACTCTTCACTCGGAGGGATAAAAACAATATCTCCCTGCATTCGGCAATACATTAAGTAATCCACAGTTGCTCTGGTTTTGCTGCTGTAGCATAGGGAAAGTGGGAGTGAGTATGATGCTGTCGGAGCTGAATTATTTCTGCAGTATTAACGGGAGCATCATAAATTCATGTGTTCTGTCTTCTGTGCTCTTTACTGTTAGACGGCATGCTAACAATTGTCATTTTCACCTAAGCTCATCCGTTAGTGAAGAAACGGTTATGAGAGGAGTGAAAAGTGCATTGTTTGTGCCGAAAAATCATTGTGACAAATTGCTCTTCAATTTCTGGTAATGGTTTGCTTTTGCACGCAAGACAGACCTATCTTCTGATGAAATGCATTTATTGCTGAGCCTGGTCAACTGGAAAATGGAGAGACTCTTCATTACAGGGATAAAAAATCAGAAAAGAATGTCATTTAAGAAAGAGTGTTGAAGTATAGCTTTGCTATTAGCCAAATTAAATGTGTGCATGCTCTGAGACAATTATTCGAATGGAAGCACTGAATGATGCAATTGGCAGAGTGGGCAAAGGAGCGCTGATCCAATCATTTGCACATTACTCGTATGTAGATGCCCACACCCGTTTCCACCAGTTATTGGTTTGAGAGACAACAAATACTGCTTTCTGAATGCAGGTGAAGTCAAGGGCTGGCGCTAAACCGAATTAGCACTGAGGAATCGCTCTTAACAGCATTACTAGATCTAAGATCAGACTTAATCTGTTTCTGGGAAACTGACCCTGGCAGTATACTGTTTCTGTATTAGGATGTTATAAACGGACTTTGACTTTGTTAAGAAATTCTCCCTGCATCTTTACCGACCTCTTGTATCATCAAATGGGCGGTAAGATAGCTCATCTTGTCTTCCTGTAGGACAAACTAATCATTGTTATTCTCCACACTGATGGACATAGACAGTGATTATTGGCAAAATAATTTAAAGCCTTGCTCTCAGCCACTTTTGTAACTGGTTTTTACAAGACTACAACGGTTGGAGAAAAATTTGCCATTTGTACATTTGGAAACCCTTTTGTTTGTAGCTCTTTTGCATCTTCCACCTCAGAGTAAAATATAAAAAAAAAGTTACAAAGTCAAAACAAAGCTGCACAATTGTGAGAGTTGCATATGCATAAACAACCATTTAGAAGTTTTGGGGTCTGTAAAATATATAATTGTTTTTGAAAGTATATTTTGGTGCTGCTTAATATTTTTGTGGAAACCATGATACTTTAGAATTCTTTAATGAATAGAAGGTTTTAAAAACAGCATTTATTGAAATAGAATGTTTTGTGACAATGCAGGTCTTCACTGTCACTTTTGATCAATTTATTGCAACATTGTAGAATACAAGTAATAATAAGTAATTAAAAAAATCCCCAAACTTTTGAATGATATGCAATGATATATGCAGTATACGCAGTGATTTCTGGACATTAAATAAATAAATGTAATGGAAATTCACTGGTACTCTACATTGTATTGCAGCAAAATATATCACTGGAACATGCTGAAGGACACTTTATGACTTTTGGTTCATAATACAGTCAATGCGATGCGTCTCCTTGGCTTTCCCTATAAGCTGCTGTTGTGGAATTCTCATCATTACTTTTAAGTTCCTGGAGGACACTCAGAGTACTTGTCTAAAACAATAGAGAAAAGATTTTGCTTGTCTTTCTGTTGGCATTACCACTGCATTTCCATTCATGGGCTGTAGCCTTCAAGCTCTGTGGAGATGGTTTGTAGTTTTAGTGTGTGTAATGACTTGCAACATCCCTCCTTCACAAAAATCAATTCCAAAGTCTGCCCTGAGCCAGAAGTTTCAAGAAGTGCCGAAGAGGGCTCGGTGCTCGAACACCACTTTCATTTATATCAACATGTGATTTGAATGATTTTACCTATTCACTTGTTTTCTGGTTTCCCATGGCAATGCCTTGAATGAAACTAATTTCTTTTGTGGCTTTGCTCCACTGACCATAGTAATTTCGAAAGAAGATGGGGCCAGCAACAAGTGTGTCTGAATGCTGATGCGAGATGTCATCACTGCCAGTTTGCTTTTGCTTAGCACAGTGTTTTTCAGAGATTCAATATCATCAGTCTGAGTGAAGAAGAAAAACGTTCTGTCTGTATTTTGACAGCAGTTCCTAGGCTGAGACTCGGATTGCAGGAACGTGAGCTGAATCTCTCACATCACAATGAAAATATTTCACATGTATGTCATAAACCCTTACATTTTTGAAGTCATGCACCTCCAGGACCTCGTCAGTGCCGTTTCCCATCCTGAACATCTCGATGCGTTTCGCTGGATAGATTTCCATCATGCTCTCAGTCTCCATTCCATCCAGTACGGCTTTATACTGATGATCATATACCTGTTCGGACACATACAACCCAACATAACAAATTAAAAACACAGTGCTACTAGAATATCCTGTCTGCAGCAATAGACACAATAGCATGACATAAAATATCAAGTGGGATCTGAAAGCTAAATTTAAAGCTACATTTACTTTTCTGAGACGTTGATATGTTTAAATGTAAACATCTCAGAAAAGTAAATGTAGCTTTAAATGTAGCTTTTATTTTTATTTTATTTTATTATTATTTAGGAACTAGCAGACTAACCACATTTGTAGTTCATTGTACCGATGTTTGAAAACCAGAAAGTGTAAAGTATTTGTAATACTTCAATAATTATTAACATATATAAATGTCTTTCTAACATCATACCTGTAATTTGAACTCTTAAGAAACCTTTTGCGAAATGTTTTGCTTTAAATAATTGTCCTTTGTTTTGCTATTTTTATAATACTTTTTAAAGTGTCCAAGATAATGCTGCACCTAGGAACACGGATTTAGTTCTCATCACTTTTCAAAATTTAATTTTTTTTCACTCAATGAAAGTCAGTAAGGTCCCGACTGACTTCAATTGTATGGACAAAAACAGTTTTCAGAATAAAGTCGTCTTTTATGTTCCACAGAAGAAAGTCACACAGGTTTGGAACGACGTTACCTTGTTCTGTAAATGATGACATAGATTTTATTTTTAGTTGAAATATCCCACTAATATGTACTCGCTTTATGAATCTTTCCTGGTTCCTCATTAACACAAGGATCATATCTTCTGTCAAAGCCAGTCAGTTTGCTCAGGCTGACGGGCAGCATGACTACGACCTCTATTAATAAATGTGAACAGGCAGCTGCCCTTAGTTGCCATAAGTACGCTTTAAGTAGACTTAACAAATGTCTGAGGTCTCGGAAGCATTATATGGCTTTTCTCGTTGCCAGGCCTTGCAGCGCTGCTGTTTATCTCAGCGCTTTCTTAAATGCTGTTTTTGGGCATGCATGGGTGGCTCCTCTCTGTCTACAAAAATGATTCATGCCCACCAGCCAAAAACCCTGCTATTAATATTTATGTGTGTGTTGTGTTATGATGAGAAATTACACTGCTGAGCTCACCCTCATCTGTCTCAGTAGCATTTCTGAGTAATATGTTATGCTTAGACATAAGGCAAAAGATGCACACACACAAATATAATACTACATTAAGATTAATGTCACAAATCAAAGTGTTTTCTGATTATTAAAGTGCTTTATGCAGTGTAGCATAGAGCAGTAAACACATCATTTAATATCGACTTGTTTGTCAGCTCTGTTGTGGAGAGTGTAATGTATTGAAATTAGCTTGAAAGTAACTTCTGCACGGATCTGCATTTGTATTCATCCATATACAAAGAGGAAGTTATGTGAAGACGTAAGTGTATGAGTGTGGCGATAGCAGAACTGATTGGACTACAGTGAGTTGTAAAGAGAACGAATTATAGAATATTCCATTACTGAGAAGAAGTGGGGAGATATAATGCTTTTATTAGTGTTTATCTTAGTGCTTTGTTTATTCCTGCAGTTTGAGGGGGTAATTTTGTTCTGTCGATGCTTTATTGATTGAAATAACTTTCAATCAGTCCGTTCATCACAGAGCTATCAGAAGGTGCTTTTTGAAATGTTACAGCCCCAGTGTCCATTTATTTTCATTATATATACAGTATTTTTTTATTTCTTTTTTTGCTCCACAGAAGAAATTCATATGGCTTCGGAACAACATGAGGTTGATAATGACAGTTTTCATTTTGGCTGGAACTATCCCTTTAAGAACATAATGAAGAGTTAATGAACTGTGTGTCCTGTGAAGGACCTTGTCAGTGTCAGTCCAGCTTCAAGTTACTGCAGGCATTCTTATTGATTAAAATTGCAGAGCTTTTTAAATCCCCATTCCCTGTCTTTTGTTGTTGTTGTTACTCTCGTGTATTAAGACAAACATCAAAAGACCTTCCCCTTTAGCATATTTAACCTAACTAATTTTGTCTACTCTGTGCTTTCTTGTATCCAAGTTACCGGAATAGATGACAAAAAAGGCTAGATATTACAAAGAAATAATGATAATGAAAGTAAATTAGCTCTCAGCACTATGGGAGAGTACTGGAGCTCAAGGCGAAACACAGAGAAATGTATTCATTAGTGCTCCATCATGCAGATACCTTGAGCACTGCATTGATTCGTGTAATAGTGTTTGCTTTTTCAAATTTCAGACACTCAATAAGCCTACGGTGATAATGCTACTTTCCTGACAGGATCAAATATTATTTAATTTAATCATCGTCATGCCAGAATTCTCACAAAACATTAAAAGTATTGCAAATTGAGGTGATAATGGACATTATTACAATATTAACAAATAAAAAGAACTGTTTAAAGGTGTTAGTTTAGGGATTTTCTTAGCAAATATTGATAAATGTCAGTGATTCTCAATCTTTAGTGGTTGTCTGATACTTCGATAGTATAAAATAATGGTCACACTTTGTTTTAAGGTCCAATTCTCGCTATTAACAAACCATTAACAATGACTTTTGCCTCAATAAACTCCTAATTTGCTGCTTATTAATAGTTGGTTGTTGAGTTTTGAGGTTTTGGGTAGGATTAGGCATGTAGAGTATGGTCATGCAGAATATGTGCTTTATAAGTACTAATAAACAGCCAATATGTTAATAATAGGCATGCTAATAAGCAATTAATTAATAGAGAGAATTGGTCTCTATACTAAAGTGTTACCAAAATAATGAACTGTGATTTAATTTTGATTACAGAAGATTTAAGAACTTTTCTCCATTTGTACAACAGTTGTTGAGGGCACAAGTTAAATTAGTCTCTTTTTTTAAATGCTGAACAACTTAATTTTAAATTATGACTTAAAAATTAAGTAAAAAAAAAAAAATCAAGTGTCCACCTAGTTGAGAATCCCTTATGTACAGTATATATGCAATAAATATGATGCGACTGATTAATTGGAATGCCATGTATAAATAATTCAATAATTATTATTTTAAATCGATTGACAGCCCTATTTTTAATATTCCTTTTCAACTTGTCTTGTACTTCATGTCACAATTTTCCAGACATTTTTTTTTGTCCATGATATTGATTCGCTTAGTTGGTCTCAAAACAGCAAAAAATAGCTGTATTACAGGACAGAGAAAATGTAATATTGTATCCCTGGGAGATCACAAGAATGCACTGGCAAGTTCAGAGCCTGCTCATGATATATTGTTAAAATCATCCCTAGTGCCTAGGCCTTGAGCTCTCAATTCCTGCCAAACTCATTACTTTATAAAAGAGGCATTTGAGAAGCATAGTCGTTTGTTTACATTTTTGCAGGTACGCCATGTGACCACCATAGGAGCTTTTCAGACTTATGACAATCTACGCATTGAGAATTCAGGTAGATTACCCATAATCTACTTCCCGGTGATGCCACCTGGCTTTAATATACTTCAAGTACTCATGACAGATAACATGTGGAGGAGTTTTCAGAGTTCTCTTGTTTACTTCTTTTCATCTACTGCATGTCTGATCTCTTCGGTGGCCAAGCATACGGAGACTCTCAGGAGAGAAACACCCCGAGGGGAATTAATAACAGACAAGGAAGCCAATGAAGTCTGAGAGTGGTTTGCATCATCGTGCCCTACTTGTACCCTGAGGACGCATGTTAAAGGTCGTCCAGACACTGTCACAGGTGAGTGGAGGAGAGAGGCTAGTATGCTCATGACAGCGTGTCCCCTCGTTGTCCTTAAGGGCCTAGAGATACGACTGCCCGTCAGAGTGCAACATGATGGCTGTCATTCAGAAGTAAGACGATGACTTCACTTGTGTCCTTACCCTGCTGAGAAGAAGACCTGAGACATACCAGTGTCAACGGCATTGCCACGTTGCCAGCCTTATCGCAGAGGAGTGCGATTAAACTCCAGTAATTGAGTTGTTTTTCAGCATGCGCCTCAAGAATATCTATATTCCTCTCAGAATTGCTATTTTATTTCTGTGCTTTATGGGTTTCTTGTTGTTTTAGGTGTACAAAGCGAGTGAAAAATCCATCAGACTCGAGGGCTGACAGATGCCACCCAACGAAATAAACACTAACTGGCTTTCAGTTGGCGCTGAAATATAGTACTTTGACGAAGGAAGTGTGAGTACAGCTGTAGATTTAGCACTGGTTTGGTTGCAATACGTGAATCACCTGCAGGGTGTGCGGTCGTCTCTTCCCCTCTACTTCTTTCCAGCAACCCTGCTCTCCACATGCTCCCTGCACTCCCGCGAATGATGATTTAACAACTCCTGTTCACATGGGTGGTCACATGATCACAGCAAATTCCTCCCCGGGGTTGAGCTCCCCTCTGAAATGTTGTTATGAGAGGTTTTTTTCCTCCTCCTCTGACTTCCCTATCGCTGTTTTCCACATTTTTTCCCTTTATTTTGAGTGAAAAATAAGTACATTTTTCTTGCAGATTCAAAACGAACACAGCTGCAACTGTCACAACATCCCCCACAGCAACACTGCCATTTTTACAACTTCCCCACTTCCTTTGGTTTCTTTTGCCATTAGGAAAATTAAAGACACCCTTCATTCGATCGACAGCTTGGCTTTCATCTCATAGAAAAGATGAAGTGACACTAGTGTATGAGCTATAATGAAAGCTGGATTCTCTAAAAAATTAGACACCCTAAAGACAGAAAGAAAGAAAACTCCAGGGTATATTGCTGTAAAATGAAGATCCCCTCAGGAAATAACTTCTCCAGATCAGTTGGAGACAGCGGTGCAGATGGCATTCACATGTGCTCAATGCATGTCAAAAGCCAATGTGTGAGCTACTGTGTAGTTATTATTCTAGGAATTAAATGATATTCCCATTTCAACGTGCGCTAAAGATAACAATTCGCCCATTGATGGGCTCTTCATTACCGCCCTGATCTGGTCTGACTTCATTTTATCTGCCCTGAATGGTTTAGATAACAGCGGGTTCATTTCCATCACAGGTTAATCTCT